AGAGCTACGAATAACTCCCATAGGAAATTGAAACTGTATACTCTTAAGAGCGTATAAACCAAATATTCCATTACATCATGTTCTGCCCATTACATCACCAGTTATAAGGTTCTAAACACCTCACATTATTTTATGTTTACCCTGTATTGTCTCAAATTAATATGTATTTAACGGTCTCACAAGAGGTAAGATAATTTAATGTTTGCCTTAAACATTAAATCGTGTTTTTTGAAGGCTCTGTCATCGCATGAAATTATGTTCTTTTGGAATAATTTGCTATTTTCATAACTGCTGTGAGTTTGCAACAGTTATTAATAACTGTTATGCATGTTTGGTCTGTATGTAGCCAGCGCCCCCTATTGTTAACTGCAAAATATCAATTCGAAGAAAAGCCACAGTTTAGCGAAAATGAAAAGCATTAGTGATCTAAATTTTTAATTTGAAAAATTACTCTTCTGTATTATCTGGGCTCATAAAAATTTGCAAAATGTGAGAATTGTTGATTTTTATTAGGGTAGAAAAATATTGCCGAATTGGTGATTTTTAAAAAAGTTTAATAACTTTTAAAATATGGAAGTTACTTGTCCGTTTTGCAGATTTGATAATTCTTTGTGGCAAAATTATATAAATAATTTAAAATAATAGCTTTTCTTCAAGTAAAATTTCCTCTGTGAGACATTTAAATTGGCGCTTTTTTATTACGAAGAGTTTTTCAAAGACTCCTTCGTCACATGTTCCTTTGCAAATAATATGCTGTTTTCATAACTGCTGACTGATTTATCATGACTGTTAGGTCAAGTTTGGCCTATCTAAAGCCAGCGCTGTCCTTACTTATTCTGAAAATGGGCAAAAGTCACAGTTTTGTGAAAATGAAAAATATTTGTGGTCTAATTTTTTAACATTTCGAAACTTACTCCAATGCTGCGTTATCTGGGCGCATAAAAATTTGCAAAATCTGATAATAAGGCAATCATCTAAATGTCGCCAAATTGGCGATGTTTAAAAAAATTTAATGACTTATAAAATATTTATGTTATTTGTTCATTCTAAAGCTCAGATAATTCTTTACGGCAAGCTGATTGATATAGTTTAAAATCATTGCCTTGCTTCGAGTGTAAGGCATTTAAATTGTGGCTTTTTTATTTTCTTTGGCGACGAATTTTCGAAAAACCATGTTAAGTGACTGCAATTGAATTCCAATATGTTGTGCCTCTAGAATGATTTTTCAAATATTTTGATTGCGGCTGTAAATTTAAACAGCTGATTTGCACAATTTGAAACATGTTTTATAAAATAGGATTGGTATTTTAATCACTGTTGTAGTATAGAAATATTTTTAAGTATGTGTTTTATTTACATTTTATTTCAGAGTAAAATATTTATTTTTAACTAATGTTATACTATGTATTTTAATTGCTCAATATTTTTTTTTACTTTTTTTGCATTTGCTACTTCTAAAATTATTGTTTTTTGTTAAAATAAAATCTTTTAGTTGCAAGGCTTGCGGAAATACCCTGTTTTTACTGATTTGTTCATTTTTACCACATATCAAAAACATAGTTTTTCTCATGAACATTTAAAATAATTTCTTCAACCGAGTATTTAAAAAAACAACATTATCGATGTCTACAATTATATTTTATATCTTTTTACAATTCTGTTTACGAAAAGTTAATGTATTAAGTGCAAACACAGTTGTTATAAGATTTACAGATGTTTCAGCATTAAACACACTCAACATCTAATCATTTGAATATATGTTGAGAATAGTATGTATCAAAACATCTGTATGCATAAACAATTTTTATTTGCGCATAATACATTGTTTTCTGTGAGTTGCTAAAACTAGTTTGTCCTGCAAAAAATTTATGTATAACTTTAATAAATAGTTTTTATAAGCATTGACATAAAAATTTAAAAAATTACATCGTTTATTAAACTTATAAAAATATAATCTATCTTTCAGAAATAGTTTTCAATTGGGTATACTAAATTTAACCCATGAACGGCATTTTCTGCGAGCCTAACTTCAAGCCACAAATAAACAAACGAAGTGTTTAATCGTTTAAATAGCTGCTCGCCAGATTTTATTGCATTATAAAGAAAAGTAATTGATATTCGATTTTTGATTAATAATTGATTTATGTGGATAGTGGCATAGAATTTAGCATTGCGTCATGGGAAATGTTATTCCTACTAAGTGGAAGTAGTTGTGTTTTTTTTAATATTATACCCAATTAAACTAAAATTTATTTATCGAATCTCGTAAATTCATGTTGTTTTCGTGCTGTTGTTTGGTGTGCAAAAAAATAAATAAATAAACGGACCACCTTTAATAACTTTTGATCTTCACGTTCTAGGACTCAATCTTAATCTTTAGGACCTTAAATAAGCTAATCAATAAGCGCAAACGACAATTTAAGTTACGAAACCAGACACAAAAACATACTTTCTCTGAATAAATATATCTTTTTTTCAATGAATTCGTATTTCTGTCCCCCCAAAATGTAGGGGATAGCCGCAATCTGGAAAATATGGTTCCAATAGTTTGGACCCTTAATGTGAATTTAATTTGATGCGTATTTCGCTATATCTTGGGAACTTTTTAAGCGAATTAAAATATTTTTGCACACTATTATAAAATTCGCTAGTCAAAAGATAATTCCATGTAAATAATAAATAATCGTTAATATTTATTATTTTATTTAATAATAAAAAAAATTGAATTGTAAGGTTTAAAAATTTTTTGCATCGTTTTAAAGCACGTAATTTTAAATGGCAAAATTCGACCGAAAACGGTTGAATAGTTCATGAGAAATCAAACTTTAAATATATGACTTTTTTAAAATTAGATTTCTCAGGAACTATTTGATCAAATTTTGATAAGTATATTTACAAAATTTGATAAGATGCAAAAAATTTTATACCTCCCAATTCAATTTTTCCCTTGATTATTAAATAAAACAATAAATAATTGCAAAAATTTGTTTCTAGCCTGGAATTATCTTTGGATAAACGAATTTTATATTTGTGTGCAAAAATTTTTCCATTCATATAAAAAGTTCTCGATATACAGCGAAATACGCTAAAAATAAAATTAACATTAACGGGACCAAACTATTGGGATCATATCTCCCAGATTGCGGCTACCCTTTACATTTTGGAGGTCAGAAATCCGAATCCGTTGGAAAAAAAAATATGTTTATTCAGAGAAAGTACGTTTTCGTGTTTGATTTCGTAACTCAAAATATAGTCGGCACTAATTAATTAGCATATTTGAGCTCATCCCCTCGAACCATTAAGAAGAGTCCTACAACGTGAAGATCCGATCATTAGATTAAAAGTTATTCAGGAGGGTCCGTTTTTTTTTCTATGCACACCGTATAATGTTGTATTCGTCCGTAATACTTTATTTTTGTGTTGTTAAATCTACAATGCTTCATAACTGGGCGCAGTCGTTTAAAGCGTCGCTCACATCTTTGGTTGGAAAGCGAGGGTTATGAGATGAGTTCGATCTTGGTCACCGACAAAACAACAGGCGTGTATACGCAGCAAGGTGCATGTTGAACCAGTCATGGTTGAACATCCTCTCGTCTCGTTTTTATTTTGCGCTTTATATTAAATTAATAATTTCTATACTTCTCATAATAAATATAACTAATTAGTATAAAAAATAAAATACAACTACAAAGGATTTGATTGATTGATTTGTTCATTTACGTCGCACTAGAGCTGCACAATGGGCTATTGGCGACGGCCTTGGAAACATCCCTGAGGATGATCCGAAGACATGCCATCACAATTTTGATCCTCTGCGGAGGGGATGGCACCCCCGCTTCGGTAGCCCGACGACCTGCACGTGAAGTCGAGCACTTTACGGTAGAACAGCTAAACGAGGATCAATACCGCACACCCTCAGTCTCTACGCAAACTGATCCAAGTGGTTACCCACCCGCACACTGACCGCAGCCAGTGATGCTTGATTTCGGTGATCTGCTGGGAACCATGTCTTAACGATCAGTTCACTGCGGGACTGAATTACAAAGGAAGAAAAAAATTCAATGCTCCCTACCCCTCAACAGGTTCAAATCATACAACTGTTTTTCATTTGACTCTTGACTGCTATACTGTGGCAATTATCAACACTATCACAATGCATTCAAGGAAAAAAAGATATCTTATAGATATTAGAACTGTGAATGATGACATTTTTCAATATTTGAAAAAACGGCTGCATGTTTAAAAAGTGACCATTATTAATAAACGTACAGCTGACCACTGGCCGTTAGCAAAATTTACTACTTTCGCCCTGTACCAATTTATGAGAATATGATGGAGAAAAAAAGTTTTTTTTGTAAATATTTAAACACAAATATTTTCAAGATTTTTTTTTCTTTAAAATTATATGTATAAACAATATCCAAAAAATTTTAAAACGGAGGAATAATTTTTGAATCAATTATTGAGAAACAATAGCCGAGAAGAAAAAATTTGTGGTACAAAATTTTTAATTAAGGATGAAAAAACTTTCATTTGTAAGTCAGAATTTCAGGTTACAAATATACATTTGTTTATTATGAATATTTTGTGATATCCATCATAATGCTAAGGGCCTTTTTATTATTATTTCTTTACCCCTTATTTTATTATTATTTCTTCATCAATAATCAAGAATGTAACTAACAATTGTTTCACAACAACGATTTTATCTTCATTTGTTTTTTATAATTAGTATTTTTTGTAGCCAGAAATGAAATATTAGTTAAAACTTAAGGTCTTTAAATTATATTGTCGAAAGAATTTTTGTTGTTCCATTTACTTGGAAAAAAAAGTACAAAATAAACAAAACAAGATTTGAATGTCAAAATTTTAATACATATAAAAAAGAAAATAATGTTCAAGTGTCAAGTATTTTGATTTATAAAATCCAAAATATGATCTAGCTCACTAAATAATTAGTTAAATGTATGATACTATTTCTCAAAAAGAAGAAAAGATTGTTGGAGATTTTGCTGTGCTTTTATTAGAACTACCAGAAATAACCTGATACACAAAGATGATGAAAAGACATATAGTCGAGTGATATTTAAATATTAATAATATAAATATGAAAAATCTTCAAACTAATAAGCCTTCAAATAGGCAAAACACATTATGTACCAAAATTTGAAATAAATAATACAAAAACTGTACTATACATTTTAAAAAGGAACAAAAAAATATTATTTATTCAGGTCTTGATAAAAAATAAAAAAACAGCAACAAATGTGGTTTTACAATTGCACAACAACATAAATTTACTCAAAAACTAACTTTCCCACAGTCTAAAGACAATTGTGATTGGTTAAGGGATCTAGTCGTAACAAAGGCAATATTTTCTTCAATTTTATCAATAAAGACACTTTTGTATACATTAAACTTGTCTAAAAAATAATTAAAAATTCTCTGAAAAAAATAAAAAAATAGTCATACAAAATTAATGCTATTCTTTTTCCAATCTTAAAAAGTGTCGGTTTGTGTTGTGTTTCGTTAATACTTTTACAAAAAATATATAAATCACTCAAAATAAATTAATTTTTTTTTTGAACTTGTACACTGATATTTACATATGAAAACTAATAACTATTTTAACTATCACAACAGTAATTTAAATAAATGATTGACAATGTGCTTTTACAAAAGAAAACTTTAAAAATGTTTTCTTAATCAACACAATTTTCAATTTTATTTAAGAAATTACACTATTACTAACGCAATTTTTTTTTTTCCTTCCATTTTTGGACGTTTCAAAATTTTATGATTATCTTCTGTGAGCATAAATATGAATTGAACAAGAAGCAATGCATATAAAACATGTTTTGTACTCATTAATATGTAATTTCTTCTATGAATAGACCCAAGCCGAAATCTATCCTATATAGTACACTCAAATATTATCCTCTTTTTCATACAAAAACTAATGCAGCTATCTTACTTAAGTTTACCATTTTTAAAGAGTGACTGTGGTCGTTGTAAGTCATCTAATAAATAATTCATTCATATAAATAAATAAAAAACAGTATACGTGATACATGTATCAATACACCAGCTCAAAAAGTTACCACTTAAATATTAAGTAAGGAGACTAGAAATATAATAGACAACATTAAAAAATAAATATCTTAAAATCGTTTAATGTATTTATAACAGTTTAAACTCAACAAATCAAAATAAAAATCGTTTATAACAAAAAAATTAATAAAATAAAGTTGATGAGGATATGTAATGAGTAACAGTGAAATTACTATTTCTATTAACTAGAGGATGAAATAACTCGTAAATATAGTTCTATATCTTGAGTATTATATATATATATATATAAGGTATCAAATGAAGACACTATTTTTAATAAAGGTGCTTTAAACAATAGGATAAATATTTAAAATTAAAAAAATAAATTTAACGTTTATAAAATGAAAATAAAACTAATGATTTTAAAATCCCTTAAAAAAAACTATTTAACTGTAATTTGCTAAGACTGAAAAGTAATTCTATAATAATACTAAACATAACTGAATCATAATCTACTTATAGGGTGAATATCTACTTGTATAATTCATAAATAAAGTTAATATTATAGTATTGTAACTATTTTAACACCAAATTTCTTCGTTTTTTTTTTCTCACCTTGAAATTAATTTATGATAATCGAATGAATCATACTTAATCTAACCGAAATATTTCTAACAATATTATAAAAATTTCTAATTCATTAATATAATGAAATAAAAGTTATAGAAAAAAGGAAACAGTTTTGCAGACTTTTTAAATTTTTTAAGTTGAAATTAAATAATAAATTGAATAATTTATTTAACAGAACTATTAAAACAATAAAGGGAATAGATTTAACTTGTAAACATAATAAAGTAAATGCTTAGTTATAAGAAACTATTTTGTTGACTTTTTTTTTATTTTGAAATTAATTTTAGATTTAATTATATTTTAAGTCTTAAAGCAATTCTGGTAAGTAAGTCTCGTCACAGATACTGGTTCGATGTTTATTTCAGGTTTCTTTCCTAAATATTTCTACTTATTTTACTTTGTTTGGCACCATCCTTTACGTGTTATTTTGTTAACTTTTTAAACGCTGCAATATTGAAAAAAACATATTGATATAAATATACAAGAAGAATGAGAATTATCCAATTAGCTTTGAGATGCGAAAACACCTAAAAAATTAGATAGCTTAATTATGTGGCTTACATATAATAGCAACAACCCATTAAGTGCTATTTATATACAGGACTCAAAATCGACAATGGATTAATGGACCAGGACTAGGAAACAATCACTGATAATCGGGTGTAAAGATATGGCACCCTTTTTTGTGCCTTGCAATTATATGCTTAATCATAACTATGAAAATTACGCATTTTCTATAATCATCTAATTTCACATAAACTTTCTTTTTACTCTAAATATTTAACATAATGAACTAATTATGGTAAATGTGTAGCATTTAACCCAATTACTAAACCGTATTAAGTAAATTTCAAGTTACATAAAGCTTCTATTACATTATTTAATAAGTTTATTTAGTTTAAGTATCTTTCAAATCACTTAGACCAGTAAAAATGTTTAGTCTAGTGAAACTTTTTAGTTATTCTTAATTTCTACTTCTTTTTTTATGTGTTTTCATTTTTACTTCATACTTATCCATTCCTGATGCATTTTTATAAGGTATTACTGTGCTATACACAAGAAACTCAATTCAGTAATTTTTTAGTAGATGTTGGTTAGATAATTCCCATTTGCTAGTATATTAGAGAAAATATATATAAATAAACATTGTGAGATAACTCATTAATAACTTAATTTTTCTTAACGAGATTATGTAACTTATTACATGAAGGACTAGGTGATGTAGGAAAAAAAAATTATCGATATTTGCATCACAAATAAAAATTAGAAAATTATCACAGCTAATATCAAAGCAACCATCTCGGTGGGTTTTCCACAGACGGGAATAAAAAATATTTTTTATTGCCTTAGTTACGACCGTCACAGTTTTTTAGTTTGAACCACTTTTGTCAACACCGAATATTCTACAGAAAACTATAGTCCTAAGCCATTAAACAACATAAAACATTTCTGAAAAAAGAACAGCATCAAAGGGATGCAGATAAATAATTTTTTAAACACTTAAAAACAGCATTTTTTTTCTTGAAGATCTGGGAAAAAACATTTCGAAAACGTTTCCCCGGAAATTCGTTTTTTTTCCTACAAAAAATAATACTGGTAAAAATCCTTTTAGTATTAAAAAACTATAGATATGGCAGTTATAAATAAGTTATTAAAATTAAAAACTAACTCCAACTTTTTACAAACATCAAACAAAATATGTCAAGAGGAACCAGCTAATCATTTTTTTTTTTTATCTTTTAATATCTTTCATGACTTCCTCTTGGTAAATCTTCCAAAATGAGTATGAATACAAAAATTACAAAGGAACACAGTGAGATGTAAGGACATTTCATGTCTTTCTCCCCTATCTCTCTCAAAAAACATTGTTTTTAATTATTATTTACAACCGTAACCGGGTTGTATACACACCTTCTTCCGACCAGCTTTCTCATTTTACCACCTAAGAGGTCCGCATAGCATCACTCCTAGTAAGCCACATAGCCTTGGCTTTTAGTTTTTACCGAACACTCTTTTTGGAACTTTCAAAGGGAAGTCAAGCACAAAAGCAATGTTCATAAAATATCAATCTGCCAATTGAGGTGCTTCGGTGAAAACAGGAAGGCATAGGCTATAGGAAAAAACAGGCATAGCACCATTCACAAAAATAAGAAATTCTGTTAAATATAGAGAAGGTGCTTCAAACTGGCTTTTTTTTTCTTCATTCTATACACACACACATATGCTTAGAGAAAAAACACTACACAGTCAGAAAAATACAAAATGTGAAACATTATAAAACTTGAGAAAATGTAACATTAATTTACAAAGGTATATTAAAAGATATATTAATTATACTGGTGTATTACAGTCTAATATAATAAAACGTTTTTTTTTCTTAAAAAGCTCTCACTCATTTTTTTTTTTTTAAATTCCTTGAACTTTCCACTGGATTAAAAACATAAGAGTAATAAAAAAATCCGTTAAAAAAATTTAGTCATGGCTAAAAAAATAACAAATGCACACACATCAAAACATCCACTAAATCATATAAACATACTAGCATTAAAGTACAGGTCCTTTACACATTGAACACTCTACATAGAACCTGTAAGCATTTATACATTCTCGCATAAGGAAAAAATAAGGGGAAAATAAAGCTTCTTTATTTCGGCATAAAGAAATTTAAATAAACTCATCTAACATTGCAGCGTTTAAAGCTATCAGTACAGTATAACTGATTGAGAACAGTCAGTACAGTATGACTGATTGAGAGCAGTCAGTACAGCATGAGGGTCATCTGTCAATGACATGTGTGGGAGAAATAAAACCTGTTAATTTGTTGATCTGAATCTTTCTATATATGATCTAAAACAAAGACCGTTTTGACAAAAAAATAAGTTCTCTGAGTCAGTGGGTCTTTTTGTTATTGCACATTGACATTTCCCCAGCATATAAATATACTTTGTACATCATAAAGGCAAAAATAGAATAAAAAATAACTCTGCATTAATAAGAGAGACATCTACGTACAATCAACTATATAAATAGGTTAATATCACTTCAATGAGCCATAATAAATAGATTTTTTTTTCTTCACATTTTTACATCAAAAATAATTTCAACAACACATAAGTATAGATGTTTCCTATATAATATTTCAATAAATAAACACACACATATGTATACACCGTATCTGAAAATATACATATCTTTATACCACTTAAAAAAGTCAATTGTTTTAGTAAAACATGTGATTGACAGAGGACCCGTGACGTCAGAGAAAGTCCAAATAATTATTAACACGAATTTTTGAGAGTGTTCACGTATTTTCAAACGTGTGATATGATTAATTTCATTTCCCCTCTCGCACTGTACCATTGCTGCAAAAAAGATGATCAAAAATAATTCTGAGTGCAATACAATAAAAGTTCCTTTCAAATAGATGGATTTAAAACTTGTAATTATTATAACCTCATATTTTAGTAGCTTAAAATTTAGAAGAATAAATTTTCTATGCGAAGTCTAGAAAATTGGAATTTCACCTATGAAAAAATTTTCTGAGCAATTGGTAGTATATGTTTTACCGATAGTTAAAATATGTACTTATATCTCAAATATATCATACAGTGGTTACTTTGGAAGAGTAAAAGCAGATCTATTTTGTTTAAAACTAATTGTATTTATTTTTTTTTGCTAGCCATCTATAAATTTAAAATTATTTTTACACTAAATTTCTTAAAGCACACTCACACGCTGAAAGCAAAAAGGGTGTTTTGCTTTCATTTAAGAGTTCCACTATCTATAAAATATTATCTAAACTGTTAAAGAATGCTAGCTAGAACTAGATTGATATAAATTCCAAAAGACTTTTTAAAGACAAGTACTAAAAAGTTTTTGTTAATAGTATATAAATCTAAATATCTAAAAAAGTACTTCGAAATAAAATATATAAGAGAATATCTATTTCAAAAAGCATATTTTGTTGCTCTACTCTATGATTAGAAAAGATATTTTTATGGAGAAAAACCTATAGTAGTAATATATTGATAAGAATATTAATAAAAATTACTGGTTTAACTATTAAGACAAAATATTTGTTAAAGAGCAATTTATTAAGAAATTAAATTTTTATTTTTTAGTTTTATAAATAATTTAACTATAATTTGAGAGAATATATTATATATATATTTCAAGCATATAATTATGTACAATTCTTTTCTTAAAAATAATAAATTCTAGTATCTTAAAGAAGACTAGAAAATCCACATTAATTTTAAAATTTTGACTTTTTTTTTTAATTCTCCACAGTTTGGTTTTCCTTAAACATCTTAACATCAATAGAATTAAAAAATATTATATGTGACAAGCGTCTTTTTTTATTTTATTTTTTTTGACTAGAAATTCACTCACGCAAAACGTCGCCTCCGATCTGATTGTCCCTAACCCTTTATAAAAACCGATGAGGAATAACATGGACACAATTTTTTTTTCTTTAGTTCATAATATGTACAGCAAAGATCATATGAAAAATACACTATGAATTTTAAACTTGTGCTATATAAAAGAAAAAAAATTCGCGTTTTGTTTTTTTATATATCCAAGCAGAACATATACAATATGAAAAAAATAAAGTGTTTCTATAATATATCTATATATTAAATAAGAGGATCTGTTAATATATTAAGACATGTTTTAAATATTCATGAACTATAAAGCTACACATCACAAATCACAGAAGAACACTGAATTGCACAACAAGGTACACAAGTTAGTCATGTAAAACAGCTAACAGCGACTGAAAGGTTTTGGCATATTGCTAGGAAAATATCGAAGTACACTGATTTCAATTAATGAAAAAATAAATAAAAGGGTCTTTGGAATTTTCATATCAAGCCAATGTCCTGACTTCAAAGGTATGCACTTATGTCCAGAGCTATGGAGTCGGTTGTTGAAATCTTAGAATCTGATTCCAGGCTTTTGTGAAAGTCCGACTTAAACTAGATTTAAAACTTCAACTAAATCTTAGGAAAGTAGTAAAATTATTATTTAGTAAATAATAATTTCAAGTAAAATATTTTTATTTTTATGTTCAATTAGAATAAGGTATTTAATTTAAGATTAAAATTTCCATTATAACTACAGCTCAGATTTCGATGACCTAAAAAATGCTCTTAAAATAAGAGAAAATTCTTGTAATTAATAAATTTTGTTCAGAATCCTAATATAATATAATAATAATATATTCTAATATAACAATCATCATTGCAGTTTTTGGGCAATGAAGATTTATCAAATATATAAGATGACCAGTGTGTGTGACAAAAAGCTAATAAAATTTAGAATTATTTGGTTTTTCAAAGTTAACATTTGCAAGCTGTAAAGCCTTAAATGCAAAGCCAGCCAAGGGCTGTAGAGCAGGTAAAAGAGAAGAAGAATGCATTAAATAGTATGACTTAGTTAAAATGTGTGGGGAAGTTGTAAGATTGAGTGATACATAATTGTAAGTTGATTGAGTTGCAAGGCTGATTACTTCTTCAATAAGAATAAATGTACCTATAAATCTAAAAAAAATAATACTTCGTATAAAAAAAATCTTAAAATTTTTAAAAAAAGACCTAATTGAACAAAAGAGTTTAAAAATTTAAAATAAAGAATCAAATGCCATTCAAATTCGGGCCTTAATTATAACATAAGATTTGAAGAAATAAATTTTACCAAATCTATTTGTATAATGAGTTCGGATTGCACAAAGCCCATGATAGAAAAAGTGCTAGATATGGACATCTTACATGCACAGTTGGACATATTTAAAATACCTTAATACAAAGAGATTCTTTTTTTCAAATATTCATGAACTAATATTAATTTCTTTAGTGAACAATAAAAAATTTAAAGAATACATTTATTTTATGACAAGCTATAATTTAAATAATTGTCACTATGTTTATTTGAGTAATGCCAAGTTCACAATATTATGAATACTTTCCTAAATAAAATCAAAGACTTCTTTTAATTTATTGGATCAAACTTTCAACTAACCAGAGTCAGAATCAAAAAAATATTTTGAACTCATCAATTCCACAGCTCTGCCTATATCTTCAATAGATATAACAAGTAAAAACTTTTTTTTCTTCTAATTTATATCACACAATTGAGTTTAACAAAATAAAGAGAAAACTTTCCAATTTTTTTTTCTTCACATTGCTATGTACTGTTGGTGCATTTTACTACATACAAAAGACTAGAAAAACTGCATATAATACACACACATATATAAAAAGTGAAAGCTTTCTATAAATATAACAAAATCAAAAATACTATAAAAGTGTTTACATGTAGTTACAACACCATATATTTAATAAAATTCACACTAAGACTTCTAATAACAACAACAATAACTTACAAAAATCCGTGTAATAAATACTGCACTGAAATATAAACGTTTCTTAAAGTCTCATGACGATTTATGTCCAAAGGACATTAAAGTGAATATGGTTCTTTTTTTCTAGTACTGTTATGTATATCAGTACTGACACAAACATCTAAAAATGCATTGTATGCAGTGGAATGCACACATTACAGTTCAGCATAGCAATGTACATAAATATGTATATTTTATATATATAATCTTTGGTAAAGCATATTGCAATTTTTTTTACATTGCCAAATGCATATACAGTGAGAAAATAAATATATTTATAAATAATGACTATATTTTTTTCATATAAAAGATTTGAAAGACTAAGTTTTGCTGCCAACACCCGTATCCCAATTAGAACATATTTAGCTAATTCTGGTTTTTAATTTTTTTTTCTGAACAAACGAAAGGTTTGACATTTTGTTTAGTGTTAAAAAAAAATCTCACAATTCATTTTTAAAAAAAAATTATCATTTCCTACGTAGTGTCCAATAAAACCTACAAGGAGCACAATGGTGCCACTAGAAACCAAATGGCTTAGAAAACCATCTAAAAGGTAAGGCTTTAATTATTGCTCAGATTGGATGAGAAATCTGGATTTTTGAAACTAGTGCTATATTGAGTCTAGCTAGAAAAGAAAAATGATATTCAAATCCGAATTTTCTAAGCCAACTAGTAGGAAAGGAGGGATTGGGTGACAACCTCTTAAAAATGACTTATTCTTAAACACTGGCCAAATATGCTTGAAACACACAGCATTGCTGCAGCATTTTATAGAAATAAATAAATAGTAGTTAACAGCAAACATATGGATGAGGGACTTCCATTTGGGAACAGTCTACAAAGCTGTCAAGATTACTCCTGAAACTAGCTAAAAAACATACAAAAATCATTCAGCTGTTAAAGAAGCAATGCAAGGGTTGAGTTAACACCACCGGAAGGGAACGGCCCTGGGACGGTCAGCACCTTCCTTGACCAGGGGTTTGTGAAACTCGCGACCGGGTCGTGAATGAATGGCTGCCCAACAATGTTCACAGTAATATTGCAAGCAAGTGACATTGGCGCAGAAGAAAGGGGCAAATTTGCCCCCACACCGGGATCCTTGGCATTCATCACACATTTGGTCATCAAGAACATAAGGTTTCACCTCCACCTGCAAATAAAAGAAAAATTTTGTTGTAGCAAGAATGAAAATTCCATTTTTTAAAATCATAACATAGAAAAACGGACTACTTCGAATAACTTTTGATCCGATGATCGGATTTTCGAGTTCAAGGTCTCAATCTTAATGGTTCGAAGAGGTGGCCTAAAATATCCTAATTAATTAGAGTAGAGGATATTTTAAGCAAAGAATTCAGACACAAAATCGTATTTTCTTTAGATAAACATGCGTTTCTCTCAGCTCCAAAATAGAGGGGATAACCGCGATCTGGGAAATAGGATCCCAATAGTTTGGGTCAGAAGAGTGGTCTGAAATTCGGACCCCATAATGTTAATTTTACTTTATGTGTGTTTCGCTATATCTTGTGAACTTTTTAGGCGATTTGAAAACTTTTTGCACTTAATTATAAAATTCATTTATCCAAAGATAATTTTCTGCAAATATGAAGGAGTATATTATTATATTTCTAAATCGATTAATAAATAAAATTAAAGACCTAAAGTGGATAAGAGTAATGTTACACTGCTATATTATATTGTTCTATTAGTTGTATATAAAATAAATCGTTGGTTGTAACACATATATTTTAATTATACCCATTTAGTTTTATGTGTAAATACATTAAGTGCTTTAAAAATGTATTAAATACGTAGTTAGTGTTTATCAATATTGAGGAAAGACTTGTTCTGTCCAAAGAAACTAGCAATATTTCTTTCCTCTGATCTAAAAAATTTTTTTCTCCGTCAAACTAGTTTACAATTACAGTAGAGTCCCGATAATTCGAGCCCCGATTATCTGAGTTTCCGCTTTAACCGAGCTATCAAATATTTTAAGGATTTTTTTGTTCTAGTTTATTCTTTATTTTTAAAAGTACCGCTGAAAAACAAATCTGAATTTTATCTTCCAAACACTCAGGAAGATGAAATCCAACAACTTGATCCGATGAAATTATCGTTAATATCATCAATAATGAAAATGAATCTAGCGAAGATGATGAAGACAGCGATGATTAAAATCAACATATAAAAATCTCTCATACAGATGAACTAAGAGCTATCGAAAATGCTATTGAATATATAGAACAACAAAAACGGATTGACACCAGTCTTCCTGTTATCCCTCAAGAATGGTGAAACATTGCTGACTGAAGAAAAGCACCAAAGTTATGTAAAACAAAAAAAGATTAAGGACTTTTTTTAAATAAAAACTATTTAATTCTAGTAAAGTATGCTTTTTATATGTTTTTAAGTAAGCTTTTTCATTTTAATATGAACTGTATGAATAATGTTGTATATGTGTCTCGTATAAATGTTGTATTTGTTAAATATATTACATTTATACCTACTCTTTTTCCTTCCTTTTTGTACTCTTCGTTTTAACCGAGTTTTTCAGCTATTCGAGTTAGTCGCGGTCCACATTACCTCGGATAATCGAGACTCTACTGTAATTTTAACTGAAAAATTGCCTCACTGTTTTTAAAATTTTAGGATGTTTATCTTGAACAAAAATAAGCTTGATTCAGTGATTTGTTTGTAATAATTCAATAACAATTTATGAAACATTTCATTTAGAAACATCCACTATTTTAGCTATTATTGTTTTTAAATAACATTAATACTGTTAGTATGTTTTATCAGAAAATTTGGCTGATAAATACAAAAAAATAATTTTAAAAAAATGGATTTAAATCAAATAAAATTGATTATTTTAATGAATTTTTTTTAAATTTTTCTTTTTTAAACAAATCATGAATTTTGATACCACTGGTATTTACTGGTATTAGGAAATCAGTTGAGAAAATGTTTATCAATCTATATAATAAATTAGTTTTATGACATAAATGAAATGTCTACTTTGCTAAAAGTATAAAAATTAACAGCTGAAACATCCTGGCTAGAAAGAGAACAGAATGAAGAAGGATTCTAAAGAAAGACTTTTGAGTCAATAAAAAATTGGACAATTCAAGTGCATAAAAAGAAAAGTTCATAGTTTATAGATCAAAAAACGCTGTTAAGAAAGTAAAATTATGTAATAAGTTTATTGAAAGAAACGTTGTTCATTTACAATAAGAGAAAATTATTTAGTGTTAGTTTATCGATCCATCTGTATATCATATAGATCCTGGCTGATTTATTTTTCTTCAAATTAATGGCACTTACTAAGCCCGTTGAATTATGAGACCACATATATATTTCAATGCATTTAAATATGTAGGAAATTTATTATAAATCATATTTGCCTTATTTTTAATGCATTAATCTTTACTAAATGTAGATTAAGTATTAAAATGATATACTTTGAATTTGATATATATAAACCTCTAATTTTTGTAAATAACAAATGACCCAAAAAGAACAGCAAATTACCCTTTTTTCAATATCTCCATGTTGCAGCTGAACGAATCTTGCACTAATTGCAGCAATGTAACTTTGTTGATTTGAAAAAGCTACACGTCCAGCTCCCTTGGGGTACTTCAATTCAGGGTCAGTATCAATGCCTGCATAACACACACCTCCGTAAAGACGATCCATTATCATTGCCAGTTCAACTGAAATACATTACCATTCATCGAACAGTTAGCAATCAAGAATAAATTATAACCGAAATAAATACAAATTAGAACAAATTAACTACATCAAATAAAATTGCTATTTTTCCTTAAAAAACTGATAAATTTTTTAGATCAATGAGCCAGGGAGCCATAGAAATAAAACTATATAGTCCTTATTTTTTATTACCAAAAAATAAATAAATAAATAAAGTCATTTAATGATAAAACAAGACAGAATACACAAGAAAAATTGTTTCTATATATTCTATATATTTTTCTCTCCAAGAGTTAAGCCCCGAGGTAAAATTGTACAGAAATTTTTCTTTTATGCATTATTTTCCCATTTAACAACATAGAGAAACCGGTTTTTTGATGCAGGAAAGTCTGCACCTATAAGCTGAGAAAAAGCCAGATCTAACACTCAGAGGTTTAGGCATTACTTTCTATGATCTTCAGAACTGTCATACTCTTTGCATGCATTTCTATGTTCTTGTTTGCAATTGCAGAATCAATTTGTCAAATCTTTTTAAATGATACATTATTAGGTAAGTAACAATTATATAATATTAATATTTTCAAACCAGAAAATTTAAGCTTTAAGTGGACAAGCAAGTTTCAAACAGGTTGTTTAAGTACATTTTTATTGCCGATTTTCAAACTACATACTTTTATTTTCTATTTTATAACCCTCGTTGAACAGTCGATCCAATTTTTGGGTTTACAGCTACTAATGTTCAACTCCGTAGCCTTGTAATTTTGAACCCAATCCAGAAGATAAGGGAACTCCTGGATCAATTATTGGGAGAAATTTGCCTTCGTGGAGGATTTTTTGATGGAACTTACCATTTGCGTTGCATGGAGTGGAAGACCACGAGAACCTCTCATGGTCAGCCTGACGGTAAGGGGACTCTGACCCGTGATTCGTCTACCACTGAAGATATTTCATGTCAGCACTGTGGTCGGTCCAAGCCAGATGTGGAATTCGTATCGACCAGCCGTCGCTGGGATCGAACCCCGGTTCATCTCATTGGAAGGCGAATGCTCTATCCCCATAGCCACCGCGGCTCGAACTACATACTTGTTTGAGTAATATTATTATGGACCATTATTAAAATTTGACACTATATAAAAATACCTCACCTGCTTTTAATGGTCGTGGTACACCGCCAACAAATACAGTTTTTCGGGGGTCAAGAGGCATGGAAGCATCCAGGACAAAGTCAGCATCACTTAGACGCCATGGTCGTATTTGAACCTGTTAATTTAAAAAAAAAACTTCTGTTAGTAATTGCAAATCAATTATAAGTCACATTTTTTTCCTTTTTAAATATTTACTAATACTTTAAGAAGTAAGCATACAGGTTTGTCTTTAATAGTAGGACTTGACACACATAAATACAGCTTGTCATCTTCTTGGATGCAAGCGTCAATCAAAGCTTGTACTGAAGCTTCATCTTGAAACAGCAGAAAAGCATATCCTAAAATAAAAGAATAAACTGTATTAGAAAAAAAATTGAAGCATTAAGAATTTTATGAACTATTTTTAAGAGCAAGTTTTTTCAACAAATATTTAAGACTTTTATTCCTTGATAACCGTTTGGCGTAGATGGAACACCAATGACTCTCTTAAAAAAAATTTTCTGGCGCTCTAATTACAAGTAAAAATTCATACAGGTATTTTTTAATTATTAAAAACTGTCAAATTGTCGAACGAAATAGGCTATAGGTGACGTCGAGCAGAACTCTCTACCTATGGCAACACTTTACATGCCTTCACCATTAGCATGGGGAGAGCCATAGGAGAAGTAATTGTGACAATTAAATACGAAAAATATTAAGAAGGGGGGAAATATCGTAGAACATTTCTATACAACTGAAAAGAGGAGGAGAGGGAAGGGCCAAAGGCATGGAACCGGTCTTTTCCCCCTTATCGTAGATGGCGTATTCGAGCGTTTGCGATCGCAAATAGTTACTCAAAAAATCTGTTAGATTATCAGAATTATATTTGTACTTAAATATTAAATTAAAAACAAAAGTAGTTTGAAAAAATTTTCATTTAGATTAAAAAATTATCAATCATGAACTGATCAACTGATTTTGTAAATTAAAGAAATTTCAATAATGAACTATTGTCTCTCTTACGTTTAAATATCTACTGATAAGTGCAAATTTGAAAAATTATTGTTTGGGAGTTAGCCATCCAGACCATACTTGCTGAAGGACATATGTGTCCTATCTGCACCAATTTATTCCTATTTTGAAGCCATAAATTATTAAAATTCCAAAAATAATATTTTTCACTTATTTTGACCAAAATTAACACAAAATAATGAAAGAAATAAGAAAATTCTGCATCAAAGTTGTGATTATTTAAATTAAATATTTTGCATACAGGACTAAAAGAGCAACTTAATATAAGTAGATAAAAGTAGAAATATATACAACAATTATAACTAAAACTTTTAAATAATAGGTCAAAGCACTGTAATAGTATAGAGAATTTATTATACATGTTTAACCCACTAATGCCTGGTCACAAAAAGTTGTAGAACACATTTGAAGAGATGCCAACTTTCTCTGTTTAGTGGAAATTATTTTTCCAGTGGTAATAAAATAAGTTTTAATGCTTGATTTTAAATATTATAAATGTAAAAAGAATTTTAAAAAGTGATTTCTCACACTATTATGCACGAATAATTTAGACATAATATAAAATTACCTTAATTCCAATGAACTTTCAAAGGGTTTTCAACATAATACAGAACTTTGAAAGTATTAGCATTTAATATTATACCACTTCAAAAATTATTTTGCCAAAAGCAGAACAACTGGCATCCCTTTATTTGTTTATACTAAGTGGATATTCCTTTCTGTTATGAATCATTTACATACTACAATATAAATATTCATATTATAATGAAGATTGGATATTCATTGGGCTTTGCATGAGTGAAGCACAAACAATGGAACAAAAATGTACAAGACTGTCCATCATTTGTGTCATTATTTGTGCTTAATTCACATTGTATAGCTTTTCACAAATATTTATATTATTAAAAAATTATGGTAAATACATCTATATTGTTTCTTAAGAGTATATCCTAATAAGGAAACCCTTGTGCTGCATGAATTTATCTCATTTAATGATTATGTTAAGAATAAAATAATTCATAACTTTTGAGGTGTTTTTTTTAATGCTGAAAATATTATTAAATGATTATTTTAAACTAGAGCTGAAATATGCAGTTCCGATATTATTTAACTATACATTGTATTAACAAATACAGTCGACGCTCAATATAACGATCTTCGTGGTCTGGGCAAAAGCAGAAGTTATAATGTGAGGTCCTTGTATAGCGAAAACGTAAAAATTTCGTAAATATTAACACTTAGTTAAAAAAAAAAAATACTTGATCAATTTTAACAGATCTAGACTTTATTTTTATATGAATTTGGTAATCAACATCAAATTTGGTAATAATACAACTTTTTTTTCTATATTAATATAATACCCTATTATACACTATATTAATATAATACCCAATATTAATAGTACCCCATAAAACGATTCTTCATCCATGAAAAATGCTTAAAAAAATAATATGCTGGTTCGGCGATCCCACTTTTGATCATACGTCTAGAAGCCTGCGAAGACTCCGTTTTAACGCACAAATAAAGCATACAAACAACCTGATATTTTACAAAAATACTATATTCAAGCAAGTGAATAATATTTTCAAACAAAAAAAAGTATCTTTGATAGATTTATTGTATTGTTTGGCAAGAAAGTTATACAGACCATGAAAGACAGTAAATTATGAACACCTAGAACGTAGTATAAGAATTTAGGGGGTCATGATATTTTTTCTTCATTCAAAGAAGATTAAAGGGGTTTTTACATTTATTGTGTGATAAAAACGAAGGAAATAATAGTTTAAATAATTTTTTTCAAACTTTCTCATAGGAATTAAATTAACATTGCGTCAATGGAATAGCAAACTGAAGGTTATAACACAGGTCGTTATTTTTTTTTCCCCTAATGGCAGGCACAGAATTTGAATCTTTGCCTATGAAGATGCCAGAATTGTTGCTCATTTCGCGTTACCCAGTGGGCACCTGTGAATCAAAGTCACGGAGGCGAGCAACATTACCCACGCCACACTGCCACAAACCCGTTTATAGGGTGGGCCACATTCACACATCACACAACAGAGGACAGCACACAGAGAAACATCCATGCCCAGAGCGGGATTCGAACCCGCAGCCAATGGCTTCGCAGTCAGGCAAGCTAACCGCTCGGCCACCTGGCCGGCACACAGGTCGTTATAATGAAAGAGTTGTTGTAATGGGAGTCCTACTAATAAGCGCAGACTGTATAGCAAAGCTAACGATTTAATTTTCAATTTAAGTTGCAATAAAACTAAACATACCTTTTGGGGGGAAATAGGATTTAGATTCAGCTTTGTGTGGCCAATCAACAACCAAAGGCCCAAATCTTCTAAAGCTAGCATTGATTTCATCTATAGAAATTAAAAAATTTTCATCAAACTTTTAAAACACAAATAAAATTATTATGTGACAATGATGAATGTTTTTAAATAATTAACACTAAATCATAAATAAAAATGTAAATTAACAATATCGTTATCATAGGAAAATTCACTTGCTTTCATCTTCTTTTAAAAAGACACATTTTTTTTCTAGAAAATGACTAAAACAATTAGGAAGTTCTTAATTATATTTTAATCGACAAAAATTACTGTTATCCATAATCAGTGATACCACAGGTCTTTTAAAAATATCGGCGTGGTTGAAGAAGGTACATACTTTTCTACCTCTTGGAAAGGAAAAAAAACCATTTAATTAATAAAAATAATTAAAATATTGTTGCTTGTCTTTTTTGAAATTAAAGAAAAAAGGTTTGACTGTTCCAGGAAATTATAATTTAATGTCAAAGGCAACCAGAACAACTAGGAGAAATTTGAAGGATTATGATCTGAAAACTCTGTTCTTGAATTCAAAAAATTATCCTGATGAAATGTATTACAATTGATGAAAAAAAATTTTATTCAAATTTATTTAAAAGAATAATGGGTTTTATGAATTGCCTTAAATTAAAATTTGCTTGAGTTGAAAAAATAAAGGAAACATTTTACTTATGTTAAAGAGTTGTATTCTGTAGAAGGATATATAGATTCCAAACATTTTAATTTTATGAAAAGAACAATTACTTTTTTGTTTTATTTTTACCTTATTCAAAGTGGGGAAGAGTTGACAAAATTATTTCAAGGTGTTAAGGACGCAACCAATTTATTCCGTTTGCTATCCAGGCGAAAATTTTTCCTCACATAGCAAAAATGTTAATAAAATACCAAATTTCTTTTAAGTGTGCATTTAAATAATTTTAGTTTACTTTCGTAAACTATCAACTTATAGGACAGAACAAATTTTGTGCGTTTTCTAAAGCTATAAAGGCGAAACAACTTGTTATAAATTAATATTTCAATTAATTCAATTTCAATTCAAAATGATAATTCTAATTCCATTAATGTTTTCATTCCATGCATTTGAACTGAAAACTTTATGCTTAATTCAGAATATTTAACAAAAAAAAAAAAAAAAAAAAAAAAAAAAAAAAAAAAAAAAAAAAATCAATAAAATAATAAGTTTAAGCAACAAAACCTTCATTTAAGAAAACCTTCACTAAATAAATAAAATAAACATTAATAAAACAGTTGAAAGTGCAAAGTATTTCAATTTTTATTTTATAATTTAAATAATTATTAACACCGCATTAAAGAAAAAAATATAGGAAATAAAAAAAGATTGTCTAATATAGTAACTTTAACAATGTTTCCTGTAAAGTTTTACGCAATTGAACTTAATTTAAAGTAAAATAAGAAGAAAAATTCTACGACATGGAATATTGATAATAATAATAAAAAATTATTTTACACTTCGTTAAAACTTCAAAAAAAATAAACAAACTACAATATTATGAAAGCAATGCAGACATTGGCTTGCAAATAAAGTTTAAAAAAACTGCTGTTGTTTATGATCATTTAAACCTAATAAAACACACTGATGCTAGATTTAAAATTTTTTTTTAATCGGAGCAAGTTTTTCCCTATTTTCCTATTCCAAATTTCATGAAATATTTATCACGAGTTATGAATGCCTTAATTTTAACACATTTGATTCTTAAAAATTAAAGCATACAAAATTAGAAGATTGTATTAAAACTTGCAAAATTTCTACATACATTGCAATTTTTTTTATATTTGATTTTTAAGTTGTATTTAATGAAGAAATTAAGTTGTATTTTATCTATAAAATTGTGTAATTTTTTCTAATTTTATTCTTGCATGCATTACTAATTAGAAATATGCATTTACAACTCATAATAATAATGTACTTGAAGTTGTATAAATATAAATCGATTTACCAAAGGAATCAAGATATAAGAGATTTTAAAAACGCATATTGGTACATTTAAAATAAAAATTTAAATTTCTCTAGTAACTTTTAAATTATTTTCAAATTTCATATTGAATCAGATAATAGTTCTTTCTTTCGTTTTTAGAAATAATTATCTGAAATCGATACAGAAATTCAAATTACGTAAAGCTTGAATTTAAATTTTTTTTATACGGCATACAAATAGCGGTTATATGCATTTTATACTCTTAAAAAAACGGGTTCAATATTTTAACTTAATTTCAAACTTCAATTTTAAAACTAATTTTACTTGCATCTATATCCATCTTGCATGCATATTTGAAAGTACGAAAAATAATAAATTTTTTTACAGCAAACTAACACATTTTCTGAATTATTTTTCAGTATCAATTTCAAAGTTTTATGTTTGAAATAAATAAAATTTATAAATATATATATATTTTTTTGAACAAATAAAAACAGTAAAAAATTGCAAAACGAAATTAAATTTCCAAAATAATTTTAATCTATTTTAATGAAAATAATAGCAAAACATCAAAATTTCTACGTTAATTTTAACGTATAAATAAAAATGAGAATGATTATTTTCACTATGTTTTTGTATTAAGAGACTACAACCTTAGTAAAGAGTAGGAAGGAAAAAAAAAGATTTACTAACCTTCGTCAATATCTGGAGGTAATCCACCTACAAATACTTTTCGAGAAAACCTTTCCCCGGAATCGTTATTAGGAGATTTAGGTGCACACAGAAGTGATGAATTAAGCGAAGGTACAATTTGCTCTAGGTGACCATCTTCCAAAAGGTGATTATCTTCTAAGCCCGTGAAAAAAGGTGATTTACCTTGGAAAAAAAATGAAACAAATAAGATTTAAATTTTATTTGGCTATAGTATATTTCAACAATGTTGAACGGAAATTTTTTAATTTGTGCAAAATCATTATTAAATCTTCTAAACATGGCTAGATTTTTTATGCAAATGCATCTTGTACAAATGAATATAATTTCCTCATTTTTGTTACCAACTTTGTTTTTAGTTGAATTTTCTTTGTTTTAAAATATGATATAGGCTATATTTAAGAAATTGCTTCAATGTGAGTGTTATTATTTAGCGTATTAAAAACAACTCAAAATGTAACAATTTCCCTCTAACAAAATCCTTCTTCTTTCTTAACCCTATAGTAACTACACATTAATCTAATATGTTACTGAAGGCTCAGGGATTTAGAGCGCTCGCCTCCCAATAAGGTGGCAGCGATGGCTGGTCAATACGAATTCCGCACCCGGCTTGTACCAACCACAGTGTTGACGTAAAATACCATAAGTGGTAGACAATCATGAGTTAGAAACCCTTTGACGTGATCTAACCATGAGAGGTTTTACTCTCTACGGCTAGTTTTACCCAATGCTTATTGCAGGAGTTCCTTTTTCTTTTGGGTTGGGTTCAAAATTAAAAGACTACAGAGTTGAACATTGATAGTCGTAAACTCAGAATTGGGTCGGTTTTTCAACGCCGATTATAAAATAAAATAAATTAATAATTACCGACTAATAATCAGTTTTAGCTTTTCGAATAACACTACTTTAACATCTTTAATTGAAAATAAAACTGCAAATGAAAATCAGATTGTTTCAGATCATATACATTTCACTGCCATCTGTAGATCTATATTTCAATGAAAACTAAAAAATTATTTCACTTAAACTGCGCTATTTAGTTTGGGATAATTAAAAAAGATACATAAAAATGTTATGCATGTTTTAATTTTTCCATTCTGTGAGTCGAACGATTAGTCACGAAGTAACACTGATTTAAGTTTAATTATCTAGGGATTAAAAAAATAATAATTAATAAATGAAATGAAATTTCATGTAACAGATATTTCGGAAAATTTTTATTTCCCCATAAAACCATCCCCATAAATTTCTAATACTCTAAAGAACTACGGAAGTATAGTAATCACAAATCGTATCATTTTGTATTTTTAAAAAATATAAAATATTAACTTCTACTTCAGCATGCACAATCCAATTAACGAACAATTTTATTTCGACATGAGTACAAAATACATAAAAAGAAAAAGAATTATTGCAGCCTTTAAGAGATAATTACAAAAAAATTCAGCTATCACTTCTGCCGCAATTTTTAAAAGGAAGCAATTCAATATTGCATCATCGTAGCGAAAATTCTATTTATGATTACAATTCATGGCTAAAAAATAAGAAGAAAATTTTTTTATTAATATATTAGATTGTAATACGTCAAATAAAGCAACTTTTGGTTAGGGCAGAATAGAACTAATGAGCTTTAATGGGGCAAATTAACAGAATAACGAATTTTCAAGGAATTAACTCCTCCTTAATCATGTATTTTATTTAATTAGAAAAATCCTTCGCTGTGGTGCATTTTGTGAAACGCATTTTGACAGTAGATTTATAAAATAAATGAGATTACATTAAGCCCATGCAGATTAAAAGTTTTCTTATATTTATGGAGAAACATCTCTGTGAATTTCTACAAGATAGATTTTTTTAAAAAAAAAATTCGGCAATGTTTGCTTCACAATATTCGCTTCAAACAGTAAATTAAAACTTAAAGGATGAAATATGCATTCGCTTTTTTTTCTTCTTTTGTTGAAACATTTTTATTATACTCATTTATTATTATTATTCAGACTTATACTTTAAAGTTCCATCCATTTTTCTACAGTTTTTCGATGAAATAAGATTTATTTTTTAATGTACATTATAGTTTCTGAAATTTAATGTCTTTCCGAACCTTGACTTTCATGACTCTGAAAGACATTAAATTTCAAAATCTACCATGACTTTCAGAGCATTTTTTTGCCCATTTCTTAGCCACTTTGTTAAAAAAGATTTGAATAGAAAGTTCAATGGATAACTTACGTCAATGATATATAAACTGTTATTATTTTTTAAAAAAGAAAATTCAAACAAAAACTAAAAAAGATATTTGGTACTCGGTAGACAAATATTTTAGAAGAGAAATCTGACACACACACTGTCTGGTAATGAAGAGATGAGCTCTTAAGGAGATTATTGTGAGTGTGGAGGAGGTTTTACTCGTGATTACTAGATATCACACACGCGTTTAGTTTCTCATAATAGTAACTATATTAAATTTAGTTCAAAATAAGTATTAAGGGGTAGATATAGGTACAAATGTTATTATATTTTTTACCTATTATGTTATGAATTATACCAGCTTTTCCGAAAATTTTTGCTATCATAAATTCGTTTAGGCAATCGGGCATTTTTTGCGAAGAAAATGAATTTTAAATTTTAGAATGAGAGAAATGAGTTTGAAATTATAAGTTTAGAAAATAGTAAAAGAAATTTATACGTCTTTTAAATATAAACATGAAAGACGTGATTAGAAATATGAAAGCTTGTTTATCTAAATATATGCGAATAACGATAGTATAACTACAGCTCTTTAATGCGCATTCAAAAACATTGAGTCCAACAGAGGGTAAAAAAATTCATATTTCCATTTTTGCTATATTTTCACAATTAGTTTTGATATGAGGAAATAACCGAATAAATAAAAAATATATATTACATTAAACTCACAATCAAAACATTATTTTTGTTAATGCTCTAGGTAACTGCTCTTCTTAGTTAAGTTTAAAGTTTCACATTGAATTCCGGTAAATAATCAAATTAGTAAGAAAGAAAAGATAATGGAATTTTAGGATTTTGCTCTGCCTTTCTAATTTTAAAGATATTCGGATGACCAGGCATTTTAGTGGGGATCCAAAATATATCCTCCCTCAGAAATTTGCTTTAAAGCATTTCGTCGTCTCCGAACAATTTTGCTCCCGACATTTTGAAAGGGAAAGCTATAATTAAAGAAGAAAAAAACGTTAATTATATTCGTTAATTTAATTAAATCATCTAATTGCAACTCCTAAAAACGTATTCTCGGGGGAAAGAAAGGAGCAATCTAATGATAGAGTAAGATTTTTTATAACAAGTTTCAATATTCATGATCTGAAAGACATATTTTACGCCAATTTAAAAGTTTGAGCCGTGGTGGCTCGAGGGATACAGCATTTGCCTTCCAATGAGGTGAGCCGGGTTCGAATTCCAGCGATAGCTGGTCGAGACTAATTCCGCACCGAACTCGCACCAACCTACGTGCTGACGTAAAATTTCTTCAGTGGTAGACGGATCATGGGTTAAAGTCCCGTTGCCATCAGGCTAACTGTGAGAGGTTTACCTCATCATGTAGCGCAAATGCAGGTTAGTTCCATCAAAAAGTCCTCCACGAAGGCACATTTCTTCTAATACTTGATCCAGGAGTTCCTTTGTTTTCTGGATTGGGTTCAAAATTAAAAGGCCACGGAGTTGAACATTGGTAGTCGTAAACCCGAAAATTGGGTAGGTTGTTCAACGTCGGTAATAAAATAATGAAAAAAAATTTTTTTCAACCAATAAATAAGTAAAGTTATAACGTACTTCAAACGCAGGAACGTACTTTATCCGGATAAATACATCTATTTTACGAAGGACGGCTTCATATAATTGAACTCTAAAATAACACTGGGGAGCAAATATTTTTTGTTACATTTAAACAAATACTTGATCTTGCCTCGAGGATTTTAAATCATAAATTTGCTTCGCTCTTAAAGCTACAGATTTTTTTAAATAACATTTTTCGTACATTCTTTGTCGAAATGTTAAAAGTGCTATATATAACAGGGGGTCGAGTCAATGTTGCGACACACTAATAGGGCATACAAGGGCACATCATCTTCGTGTGCTCCTGAACAGGTTATAATAGAGAAGCGCCCCTCGCCGAGTACGACGACATTTACGGGCAAGAATTCCTATGTAATTTTTATCCTGATTATATGCCTTAACTCTTCTAGAAGTTAGTCGCTGCATTTATGTGACTTCCTGTTTAATATAAAGTTTTTAAATTCGTACACTTCGACTCAAAATAGAGTAAAAATGCAATTTAAAAAAAAAAAAATAGGTAGCTTGGAAAGAGAAACAGACAGCAGATGTGAAATCAGGATCTAAGATCTGTCTTAAAAAATCTCATGCAACATAGAAAAAAAAATTGTTCCACATCGTAATTGCAAGGGTCTCTAATACCAAAAACAAATAGGGTATGATTGCTCCCGAGTAATGAAATTTTATTATTAAAGAAATATAATTATTATACAATATAGCTAAGTAATACAATAATAACAAAGAATTTTGTATAGATCCGTATTTATCTATATTGCTCCGTATTCATTTACATGCAATGAAATATTAAGAGGTAAAATAACCGACGGCCAATATCGCACAAAAATTGCTAGAACAAAACAGTGAACAAAAACAGAAGTGCGTCATTTCCAAAACGAAGTACTGTAAGTTGAAGTTTCTTTTTTGCAAAAATTGAAACTGAGTAAGATTTTTCGAGTAAAATGAAGCATATTTTTAAAGGAACGAATTCTTTTTTTTTTCTTCTTCTCATCAACAATTCTGTCCAGGCGCTTTCCTACGAGGTGTAAATAATTTCATGAATAAATACTATATCAAATATTTCACACAATTTAAATTACGACCAGAAACGGTTCCTCTCAAATTTTTTGATTTGCCCAGTTTAAAACCTTTTCCTCGCCCCCCCCATAAGAATAAATAAAAACAATTAAAAAATTAAACTAGATTAGGAATTTAGAAAACGAGCTAATTAAAACTCGCGTTCTATAATTTAACACGAAACGAAACTTCATTTAACTCTTACGAGGGAATTATGTAATAAAGGCAATATAATCGAAATTTCCAAATTTAATTCTCCGTAACAGAAAAATGGGCGGAAAGTGGTATTAAAACTTCAAAAGACTAATCACCTAATTAATAAGCGATTATTATTCTTTTCCGAACTGTGGAATTGTGCATTTCCTAATCAATCACGCAACGTCACTAAATTTTAAACTTCACTTTCAAGTTAACTTCAACGCTATTTTCCAATACCTCAAATCATTCCACTCTTGAAAAGCGGAACATACAAATCTAATGAGAAATCCCTACACTACTGCTTTATTGGAAATATTTCACCTTCCTCTAAAGTCTTGAAGAGTTTCTTTATATTTTTCAAAATAGGAAGCTAGTCCGGAATCGATTATCGAATCTGACAGCGAAAGGACCCCGCCCACAACCCGACGACTGCTGCTGTTCTCTCCCACAATCTTCGCTCGTCCACCCCTCTCTGTCTGCATTGCTTGCCTAGGCCTTCCCAAAGACAATGTAAACGCGTAAATCTCCATTTTTACCAACTAGATAATTCGGCTTTGTGCAGTTTTCTTTTGTCTTTATCTACGCACCTAATTTATGATATTATTGTCTCTCAACCTCTTGTTAAAGGCAAGTGTAGACGTTTTTTTGTGTGTATTTGTTTATTTGCTTCCTATAAACATCGTCTTATTTGGTTGGGCGAAAAAATACCGTTTCTTTCTTGAGCAAAAACTTGTTTATAAAGAAATATTATAGGACGTAAGTAATAAAAAATGGCTATGATACGAAACTTATTGTTGCGAGACGTTCGAATGCAAATGGCTCCAAGGCAACCGATGTTTTAGAAAAGCGTTATTTTTTTTCCGGCCGTGAAAAATAAGAAACGGTGGAGAAATACGACATTGACGTAAAGAATGCATAACCGTGATACGGAGACATTTAAGGAAAGATATCGGCTTTTTCCAACACATGCAATAAAATATCACAATGTGTACATTGGAGGGCGACAGCTGCTATCTTTCTGCAAGACGATGATATATGCTTGAATAAAAATAAGGAAATCACTTTCAGGTCTACAGACACTAACTGGAGAGTAAATAATCGTAACCTTTAAGAGAAGGATGTTTGATAAAAATTTTAAATGAATAAATAATACGCATGAAAAATTCATTAAGTCATAAAACGAAGATACATTTACTAGTGATAAATATTGAGTTGAATCATCTATATTGCTAAACAAAATTTAATTAAAAGCATAAATTTTTTTTAAATGTTTAGCAACTAATCAACAAAGTACCTCGCATGGTTTCATGGTTCGCATGAACATACATGATGAACTAAAGTTTCCAACATAAACATATCTCGCAATACTATGGATTTTTTATTACTATTAATTTGCTTTTGTTTGTGCAAAAGTGGAAACTTAGAATCAAAATATCGACGATTTTTCGACCCGTTAGAGAACTCAAATATCGTAAGAGAGCTCTGGACTTGATGACAATGCAAATTTCAATGGAGCTCTTAATCTGAACAATTGTTTCCTAAATGTAGCAAACAAACTTTTATCTCCATTTTATGATAGGTACAGCGACCACTTAACAACATTAACGAAATAACAGATGCAATCTTTTTTTTTTTAAAAAGGAAATAAAATAAAAAAATAATTAAAATTTTAAAAACTATGTTTTCTAGGTAGGACTAAAGAGGAAATTTATTTTTTATTTCATCACTTTCGTAATAAAATTTCAACCCCTACGTTTTTTAGAATTAAGAAATAAATACTACAACTTCCATTTTTCTGAAATATTAATATAAAATTCTTTTCGATAAGAATGGCATATTATACTAAGCATTGAAATATTATACTTTAACAACAATTCTTTTCGGTAAGAGTGGTATATATAATAGAGAAAGATATGATTTGACCTGGAGTGCTAGGAATAAGAAAATAGAAATTCCTTAAAATATGCTATCGATTTTAAAGTGGGGAAAGGGAATTTCAGGAAAGGCTGGGTCAAGAGAAACCGGAGCACGAAAGGTCTGTCTGAGAGGAACAAAGCAATTAAATATGATTAATGAAGTTTTGGATGTTAGTTGCAGAGAGACATTCGTGCAAACCTTAATGATATTAGAAAGCTTTTGTACAAAATTCTACATATAATTTGTATTCAGATACATAGTTAAGTTTTACAAAAAATTTTGCAACTTTTGTAAGCAGCTATTTTTAAAGTGAAACTGATTTACATGTGGGTGAAACTGCGAGTGAGTTAAGATTATAGAAATAAAGTTAGCTTTTTTCAAATTTTGCTGTTCGGAATTGTAAAGTAGGATATTTCGCCTTCGGTGACTCGTTTATAAATGGATCATATTTACTGCTTTATAAATGGATCATATATACTGCTTTTGTTCAAATAAAATACATGAGACAATAAAAAAATAATATATAGCAATCGTAGAACTTTTCTAAAATGTATATTTAAAATTTTAAAGTAATTACGCTCTCATATTTTAAAACGAATTAAGTGCTTTAACACTACTATCTTTGCTCATGTAAATAAGATTGTTGTGTAAATTCTTCTAACATTAAAATATTTGAATTTTGGTCTAAGTGAAACATACTAAACTGAATTTAACTTATTTAGGAGAAAAAAAAGGTCATTTTTTCACACATATTTATTACACGTAGACTTATTTAGCACGTCTTAAAACAAACCTCCTGCAGGCGATAAGTTGAAACAAACACTATACATAATTTAAAATTATTTATTTAAATTACCTTATTGCATTAGTATTATAACCGTCGTTGAACCCAATTTTGGGTTTAAGACGGCTAATGTTCAACTCCGTAGCCTCATAATTTTGAACCTAATCCAGAAGACAAGGGAGCAAGTATATGGAGAAATTTGCCTTCGTGGAGAACTTTGGAACTATTTACATTACATGGAGAGGAAAAACGGCGAAAACCTCCCACGGTCTGACGGCAAGGGGACTCTAACCCATGATATTTTACGTCAGCATAATGGCCGGTGCGAGCCGTGTGCGGAATTCGTACCGATCAGCCATTGCTGGGATTCGAACCCGGTTCACCTCAATGGAAGGCGAACGCTCTATCACCCGAGCCACCACGGCTCTATTGTATTATTTATATCCGTCATTAACAGCCAACCCAATTTTGGGTTTACGACTACTAATGTTCAACTTTGCAGCTTTGTCATTTTGAACCAATCCAGAAGACAAGAAAACTCCTGGATCAATACCCCCAGAGGTATTGATTTGTTATGGGACCGGCATTATTGCATTATTAAAACAAAAACAAAAAAAGAATCTAAATAGCTTATGATATGAAGATGGAATTTCCATGTACCCAGTAGCAATATAGTCCGACGGGCACACTTAAGATATGCCAACCAATGCGTAAATAAGTTTCAAAATAAGGCCCTTAATTTATTCAGAACTAATTAATCTCTTAAAATTAATTAGTTTACAACCCACCTTCTCTGAATAAACATCTATTTCTAGAGGAATTTAGACCCTTAAAATATGGAAGTTTGAGTTGAGAATTTAAATTCAATGGGTTGGATCTAGTCACCCAAAACAACCCATAAATCTGATCGAAATCTTTGTTGGGACTGATTTCTAATCCAACATATACTACGCTTGATATTATTATTAGGTTTTGAATTGATCTAACTTCAATAGAAATTTCGCTACAATTCAAAATGGGAGCATTTTAATCTCAGAAACTGCTAAGATTTGTCCCATCATAAATTAAGCACCGATTACAATGACTTATTAATTTACGAGATTATATAAAGCAAACACTACACTTATTAAATTTAATCGCAATTGAAAGACGAAAGATATTTTCTTTTCATTTAGTGACTTTGTTTTCTTTGAGAGATAATTAATTTTTCTTAAAAAGGGGCGGGAATGAAACCCATAACTCAAGATGTACATTGAGTTAAAGGGGATATATTAGGAGATTTTGTTTTCATTAATAAATTTTGATGTTTACAATTGTCACAATTTGACGGCCAAGGGTACCAAGGAAGTTTTAATTCTGAGTTCCCTTTTTTTATTTATATTAATTTAGGGACGTGATTAGGTGTGGCAGTTTTAAGAAAAAGTTTGAAGCAGCTTAATTGCATAGGAGCTGCTTTGAAAAACAATTTTCCATTTTTGTAACAGTTTGTATTAGAATTTAATGCTTTTCGAGCTGTCTTGCTGAAATAATTTTACCCTGAATCAAAACTTGAAAACCGATTATTATTTTTTTAATCGATTATTATTTGAAAATCGATTATTATTCAGTGGTTGTATAAAGTATTTATCAAACAATTCTCTTAACTTAAATGAATGCATTTACATTTTTTTCACTTTAGCAATAAAATTATTTTAAAAAGAGGTAATTTTTAGGTGTAGCAGTTATTTTTAAAATAAAAATAATAAAGTCTGAAGAGTTAGATTTTATTGCTTAAAAGCTGTTTTGATAAACAATTATAATAATTTTTTATCAATTCTTATAAAACATAAAGCATTTATTTAACAATGATACAAACTTAACTACAATTAACACTTTTTTACCACTTTGACTACAAAAATCATTGTTAAACATGATATTTTAGAGAGATTTTTAAAAAAATATTTGTTGAAAAATATTTATTTTAAAGCGCAGTTAGAATGATTTAAAACAAAATTGCAAACAAGTTTTGTTTGGAACAAATTCAGAAGCTTTTATTTTTAACTAACACATCAATGCTATTAGTTTGATAGAAGTTTATCCGGTACATATTTTACACTCATCAATTTTTTAAATTTGAACAAATAAAACCTCATTGGTATGAGAGTACTTTCTTTAAAAAGTTTATTTCAATAGATTGCGTTAGAATACAAACATGTGTATACCTCTCCGTCGTCCATAACTACGAGCTGCGTGGAAGTAAAGATTACACACATTTAAAAATAAAGAAAGATTTAAAAATAAAGAACACCAAAATATATTAAAATGAATTAACTTACCAGGTACGTGAGATAACGACTGCATGTTGTTTGAATTATAATTGATGAAACCTAAAAGAGAAAATTTAATTTAACACCAAGACTAAAAAAATATCCAATGCAAGCAATAGGTAGAGTAAAATATCAGTAATATTTTTACATTAAAAATATAAAATCTGTTAAATTTACAGAAAAAAAACTGTCAGTTAGTGTGCCAGTATAAAACTGCTTATTTAAAAAAAAAAATACTGTTATTTAAAAACGGGAGCCTGTTTTTTAAGCGGCAATTTAACTTAGCGAAAAATTATATCTAAAGACAGATAATCAGATAGAGTATCAATTCGACAATGAAGTCGAATAACAATTTTTTTTATACAATGTTCAAAACCATAAAATAGTTTCTGAAAAGTAAGAACAAGTAGAGAAAATAGTTGTAAAATGATTTGAAAAAAGATGTAAGTTCTTTACAGTAATCAAAACTGCATTTCAAAACCGAGAATTTGAATTAACTGTTTTAATCGGTTTATGATTAGGGTGTTATTTAAACAAAAACAAAAAAAGGAACTCTATAAAATAACTTCTCCAGCATTGTGTTCGGTGCGATCCAAAAGCAGAAACTGCCTGACCGGTCAGTGCCGGGATTCGAACCCGGGATACCAGATTGAGAAGAGAGCGCTCTGTACATTGAGCCACAGCAGCTCTAGTGTTCGGTTATGAAAAAAATCTAAAACTGTCTTTATCTTACTTGTTGAAATCATATTTAAGTGTGAAAACTTTAAAATTATATTGGCCCAACTTAATAAACACGTATAGAAATTTAATTTACTGAAGAATTTTATCTAAAGACAGAAAATAATGTGGGAGAGTATCAATTCGACAATAAAGTCGAATAACTATTTTATTTATACGAGGTTCAAAACCATAAAATAGTTTCTGAAAAGTAGGAGCGAGCATAGAAAATAATCGTAAAATGATATGAAAGAAGATAAAGTTATTTTACGGTAAGGCAAAACTTGGAATTTGAATTGAGAGTTTTAATCCATTTATTAACCGATGGTACTTTAATAAAAATTTAAATTTTCTATAACTATTGTCCTAGAATCTAAAGAAAAAATCAAATTTGTGTTAATAATAAAAAGTATTTTTTTGGAATTTTTAAAATTACAATCTGTTTAACGTCAAAAAACAGAAATGATTGCGAAATAATTGAGATAATTCAGCAGATGAGCTACCTATTATACCTTTATAACACCTAGCTACTTATAACTCTTAATACCTTCAACTGAATTACCTTTATAATAATAATAATAATGACAATAATTTTAAACACTATACATACATAGAATAATGATAGGAATTTATAACTATCGGTAAAATAAATACGATCTTTAAAAACTGATAATTATGCATTAAAATTGCATATTTTACACTAACTGATTTTTTTATAACACTAAGTAGTATATTTAAACAATATATTTAATCAAAGAAGAGATTGAATTTTCATTCCTGTACCCTACTCAGGTGAAAAATCAGATTTCTCATGTTACACAGAAAAAGAGTAAGTTTCTGACTAAATAACAATCGGAGTATTTTAAACTTTTTTAAAAAAAAGAAAGGGAAAAAACGATGATGATGGAAAGATTTTTAAATTAACAATTTTTCTATTAGTGGTCAGAATATCGATACAAAAGATGGCAAATAGTTAAATTACTACTAGCCAAAACTACAATAAAAACGAAAGTTTAAAATAGATAATTGTGCTATATAAATAGATAAGCTAAATGTGCAGGTTTTGCACTAATTATTTTACTTTATCATGTACAGGTGCAGTCAATCTCGTAAAAAGAGGTGAAGGCCATGTACCGTTCTTAGATCAAAAATCTAAACCAGAAAGTTATGAGATAAAAGAGTTTATATACTAAATCATAATCGGAGTTAATTTACATAACACTAAAGTCGCATTTCTAAAACAAAAATTTATGAAGATTTTTTAAAAGAAAAGAAAAAAAAAACTATTAAAATAAAAAATATTTAAATTTTTTTTAAAAATAAAAAAAAATGACATGACGGAAAAGAAATAATCTCGGCATCAGCTCACACGATTATATCCGCCAAAAAGAGTGCCTTCTAATATTGTATTAACATAGCCAAAGCAAAATATATCAATACAATAGTGTAAGGAGCACTAAAAAAATCGAAACGCTCTATGAATAGAACAAATTAAGCAAAAAATGCAAAATAAAATAAATCAAGCAGAAAATAAAATATAAAAATTTAAGGAAATAATGAATCAAAAAAATAATGAATATATATATATATACCCAGTAGCNTTAAAATTAAAATATACAATTCATAAAAAAAAATTTGACACTTCCGTGGAATTGCCCATAAATATATATATATATATAGATAGATAGATATGCTGTGAGATTACTATTAACCTATTAAGTACAATAAAAAAAGATTGTTCAAAATAGAGATAATTATACGCCGAATGTGTGTGTTTTGCACTAATTATTTTCTTTTATCATGGACAGGTGTATTCGATCATATTAAAAGAGTTGAAGGTTTCCTTCCTATACCATGCTCAGATGGCAGGAGGAATGCTGCAGTTTCTACGAACGATATCGCCCGTTTTCACTAAATGCAGCTGCTTCCGTGTTCACGTGTCAAAAACGTCTTCTCTTAGTAATCGATCCTACGTTTTGTTTGGGCTAATATCCTAATAACTATAAATAAGTCATTAAAAGGAAAATGTATCGCTTCAAAAGGATTAATTTAGAGATTAACGAAAAAAATAGTATAACCAACTATATATATATTTCAATCAAACTAAGTTTGAAATAAGAATTCAAAGAATATTTAAAAAAATTCAATACTTAAAAGCACAAAAAGGCATAGTGTGTGAAGTAATAAACCACAAAAATAAAAAAATAGACAACAAAAAGTATTAGTACATTTTTGATGAACTTAAATAGCTTCCCATTTTATATATAACTTCAATTTTAAGCAATCATATCAAGGAAATATGTAATTTCAATATTTTTACATTACAAATATTTTGGGTTCTAATTTCGCCATAAGAGGCAAAATTGCCACCACTTTTTAATATTTTCAGCATACATAAAAGTAACGGGAAATTTTTCTTTTTACCCTGTCTTGAAATAAAAACTTTAATTTTGATGACCAATAATTTATGCATCCTGTAATATAGCAATAAAATAGGTAGATTTGTTCTTAGAAACTATATATACAAAAATTCAAATCTTCTAAATTTTGAAATGTATATCTTCACAGATAATAAAATTAATGCTAAAAAAAGAAGAAGAAAATGAATTATTTGAAACTGCATAATGCATAAAAGTCAACTTTTAAATTATTTAAACACACTATGTAATTATTTTAATAAAATTAGTCATTAAAAGTAAAGAAAATTGTTAGCAGTATCTGAAATAAAAAACGTGTCAACATAAATCTTTTGAGAACTACGGAAGGAAAAAAAAATACAATTTTTAAATCCTTCTCGTTTGATGTAAAAGTAAAACAAATAGGGGAATACTTGAAAGAAGCTAGCAAGTGGAGATTTTCTCAGAGCTTAAGCGAAACATTATGTAGGGATTATTTATATTATTATACTTTCTTGCAGAAGGAGTAAGTGACAGGAGAAGCAAAAAAGAATTTATAATGATCAATCATTTAAAGAGGAATGTTTATACCTTTCTTTCTTTTTTTTTAAAAAAAAAACTAAAATAAATAAATAAAATTGTTTTTCCTTTATTTTCTTTAAAAATTCGTTACTTCAGTTTTGTAAATTGGGTTGTTCGGAATGTAATTTGGTTTTTAGTTTAAGAAAATGAAAGGCGATTTTTTATAGTGAATAAATATTTTACTAAATTATATTTTGTCCATAGATTCTATTTCAGTACTTTTTGCCGTCTTTCTGGCAGTAGTATGATTCCACGCGCATAAATGTTTTTTTCTTAAGGCCTGGTTTCTTAAGGCCTGGTTTCTTAGGACAGGACGCCGTCAGCTGGAAATCAGCGCTAACCTCTGATTGGTCCATTTGTGAGTTTGATAGTATACGTCATCGAACGCTCANTTTAAAAATTCGTTACTTCAGTTTTGTAAATTGGGTTGTTCGGAATGTAATTTGGTTTTTAGTTTAAGAAAATGAAAGGCGATTTTTTATAGTGAATAAATATTTTATTAAATTATACTTTGTCCATAGATTCTATTTCAGTACTTTCTGGCAGTAGTATGATTCCACGCGCATAAATGTTTTCTTCTTAGCTGGCAAAAAACTGATCCAGATGATTTTTAACCTCCTTATTAAAAAAAAAAAAAAAAAGTTTAACTGAATAAAAATTTTGTCGAGATCCGAACACTGTTGAAGACAACCCATTTCTTGTCTCCAGTGATGACGCGCTTCAAAAATTGATAATTTTTTTGAAGTTAAAGGAGCAAATCGCAGACGTCAATGAGACGCCATTTAATTTCTTTCCGTAAGAAAACGAGGAACCTATATGTCTAGCTTTGAGATAAAACCGTTAGTCTTTTGAAAATATCATGAACGGTCGAATTCGATAAATTTAATTTCTCAGCGATCTCAAGAGTTATTTACCGGTTTGCATCAATTAATGTCTTTATTGTGGATTCATCAGTTTAAACAACTGGCTTGGCGCATCTTGGGAATATTTCCGTATCGTGATCTGTTGCGCCAACTAGATTTTAAACTTGCAATGAAAAAAAAAAGAGGTGTTTGCCCGGAGGTGGATACGAGTTATAACCATTTAAGTTAGTCCCTTTCTGTGATATTTTTTTTTCTTCAGTTTCTCGCGGGCCGCTACCCGGAAGTTGCCAAGACTTGGCGGTTATTCTGCCATAGATCACGATACTGAAATCTCCCTAGTGGAAATCTTAATCAAAATTTTGCAAACCAATTTTGGCACTGGTTTACTGCCAATACATCTTTACCATACACATAGGATCATTTTGTTTTCTTGCTTGAACAGCAGTTTTATCTTTTCGATAGTAAGAAAGTAAAATATGCCGAAAATTTTGCTTTTCACTTT